CACCATCCAGTCAGAGCTGAAGAAGCTTCTGGGATGAGAAGCGAAACGTCTTCAATGGGGAAAAAAAACTGTCAACCTTCAAGAATCCTCCTTCTGCTTGTCTTTCCGGCTGCCGTAGAAATGGGGGGGAATGAAAATAAATTGGGCTTTGGGGGCGGGGGGGAAGAGTGCTGGAGGCTTGAGATGGTGAATTGTAAAACTTGGGAAAACTTTTATCACTTGCTTATTGCGCGGCTGTAGCTTCTTATCTATCCTGAAGATGCCCCATATGACATTATACACATGTCAGATTGGATGGCCAGTTTGAACTATTGTGGGTGGGAATGTTGCCATAACTTTGTATATGTGATTTATTGAACCTTTCCTGCAAAGGTTTTCCTACCTTTGCACTTCCTTTATCCCTTCTGGGAGGGGCAGTCACCTCCCAGCCTTACTCTTGAGTCACCCCTTTTTGTCTTGCTGCTCTTGCCTTCTAGCAGCTCTGTGCATATGCACCCTGGGAACAGGCTCCCCTTGTTCCTCTGCCTCGCTGCTACCAGACTCTGGAGGCTCCGGAGTCAGCACCCCACTCCCAGATGGTCCTGGCCCCATCTCTGCATCGGGCGCAGGACCCTCGTCCGAGTCCTCCCCAGACTCTCGGACTGGCCCATGTTCCTCCCCACTGTCCGACTCTGCTGCCAGCTCTGCAGGTTGCTGGCAAACACTGAAATTGTATGTTCTGCACCTGTTTTCTGTAGATGCCATCACGGTTTCCAACGGGGGTCGTATCCTGCGCTCTTGGGAAACAAACATTGGGGGCCTGAATTGGGAGGTTTTGATGGACGCTGGCAGGTAAGAGTCTTTTGGATTAGGATTAGTTTCAACAAGTGAGTAAAGACGCCCATTTTTTAAACAAAAAAATAAATTCTTAAATTAAGCTTTCAGATGGCTAGTTTGGTTGGAGTCCAAGATGCTGTGAAGTACGTGGCCATTTTGAAGAAGAGTTCCCTGCTCCTACATTATCTCTCCAACGGTTACCAAAAATGGACAGAACATTTGCCAGAAAGGTGGGTTGACTCTAGGAAATAGCCTCTAACCCTAACCCTACTCATTTTTATAAAGCAGAAATATTCTGTTGTGTTAGCATATTCCTGGCCGTTGTCAGGATTCCGGAGGTTACCCCAATTAAATCATGAGTCTCGAGCCAAACTTCCAAAACTTAAAGAAGATTTATTAGGAGTTAACATGTCCGGCACTGCCTGGGTGCAGTCGACTCTGAGACACATCATTCATGGTCACCCTTGACCCTGGTTGTATCCCCACCCTCCATAATTCATATCCTCCAATGGGACACATCCATAGCCCAGAGTCATCCATCATGTTCTCCAGTTAGAATTTTGCCCAGCAGAAACTTCAGTCACCTAGTTACTATCTTTGAAAAACTATTTATGGAATGCACTTTCGATTTCCAAGCTGCCGCACTGCTCTTCCAAACCCCTTTCTCCCCCTTCCCTTTCTGTTGGCAACTCTAAAAAGACCACAGCAGTTAGGTTAAGTTTTTCTTACTAACAGGCTATAGTGTCAGGGTTCCAGAAATTACCCGTTCCAATCAGTAGCTCCGAGACAACCATCATCTCCAAGTGTTTTATTAAAACAGAAACTTGGCACGTCTGTGGAATTCCGAAACTAAAGTTTACTCCCCGACTTCCCACAAGACTCAACCTACACCCACCCACTTTTCTTTCACATCATAAATCACGTGAACCAATCACCCTTCAGCTACAATTCTTGCTGTGCCGTAGAGAACGACCTTGAAGGTTTTACATATCTATTTTGTCGACTGAAAGCTACTCAAACAACAGCAGCCCCCTTTCCATCCTCCGCAGCTGGGTGGCAGCTTTTAATAAGGATTCCAAAGCTGACAAATAGATTACAGATTGTTCTTGTTTAGCAACTGCCTCATTTAGCAACTGTTCCCGGTTACAACAGCGATGGGAAAGTAACTTTAAAACTTAACAAACGTTGCAGGGAAAGGAAAGCCGAGTTAAAAACATAAGCACAAGTTATCATTTCAGTTAGCGACTGCTTCTCTTGACACCTGAATTCCCAGTCCCAAATTGTCACTAAACAAGGAGTGCCTGTAATATGGATTGAAAATAAGCAACTTTTAAGGGTCTTCAGAGCTGCCTCTCATTCTGCGTATTTTATATCCGTCCTTAAGGTATAAAATTTTGACCCAGAAATTTCAGGAGTTCCTCTGAGAAAGAAGGCAAGATGGCTTAAAACAGACAACCTGATCGTGCTAATTCGCACCTGCTTTTCTTTTTATCAGCGAGATGGTCCAGTATCAGCTAGTCTATTCCCACGGGACAGGTGTGGTGCATGTTGTCGGGATTTCTCCACAAAGCCACCTCAGCGTCCTGACTTTCAGCATTGAGGATGGCGAAATGACAAGACAGGTGAAGCAACCGTTTGGCGTTCAGTGGGATTTCCTTCGCCAGGTTGGCTGGGGGAAGATTGGGGAGGGAAGACAGTAATCTCGCAAAAAGTCTTTTTTCTTACGGTAAAATTACAACGACGTCAAATATTTTGGGTGCGCCTCTGCCTTTTAAGCAGGCAGTTAGTTTTCTGCCATGTGCCTTTGCTGGTCTCGAGGTTCATCCCAGCTGGGATAAGGAGCGAGCGCCTCTCTTTGCTTTTCGCAGATCAGGGTGGCAGCTCCCTGGTTGAGGAACCTAGCGGGGACTTGCAACGTCGTGGAAGAAGTGACGCTCCTGTGTGTGAACCCAGCCACCCAGTCCCTTTACACCTTGTCCCTGGAGGCGGAGGAGGAGATGAAGGAGGTTCCGCTGCAGGTGAGGGGTCCAGAAATGAGCTGGCCTGTCCCATTGGGGCAAAGCTGAGAGGTGCTTCTGAGTTCCTTGTTCCATGACTCCCGTAATCCCTTGTGGGGTGGAATCTGGGCGACTGGAACGGAGCAGAGTGATTACTGGCCGGATGCCTTTCCGGTCCCCAGTGCGGAGTTTTTGCAGCAGATGTATTCTCATTGTGCCCAGCCTCTACCTAGGATCGAACCGATAGCCTCCCGATTGTGAGGCGAGGGCTCCACCTCTAGGCCACCACATCACTCTGAGAGGCTTTTCGATCCTGGAACGGGGGAGTGCATGTTCCTTTCAACTGCGGCCGGCGGCGGTTATAATGCCCCAAAGCATCCAGGTGTTCACTTCCTCTGCAGCTCGCTTGGCTGATCGGCCTGCTCTCTTTTTTCCCCCCACTTCCTGCAGTCTCTCGGCCTGGAATTTGCAAACCTTTCCGAATCCAGCATCCTGTCCTCCCAGCCGAACCCAGCCAGAGCTCCCCGGCCTCAGTTCTACCTGCGTCTGTCGCCCACCCACTTCGCTCTCTTGCAATATCGGCACGGCGTCTTGAGCCTCCTTCGGAATTTCCCTCAGGTGAGGACCAGAAAGGGAAGCTTCGCTCTCTTGAGCTCGACCTCCCTCCACCCTTCCCCTTCAAGGAACACTCAGGCAGGTTGGGTGGAAATGCCCAGGATTTGAAACTCTGGCCAACCTCGGCGCTTTCATATCAGTATTTCTCAACGCTGATAACTTTTAAAATATGCGGACTTTGACTCTCAGAATTCTGGATTTTGTGAGTGTTGTGTGAAGTGATGCATGCGCTATTTTTTTTTCTGCTATCAAATTTATTTAGTGCTTAATAAACATCGTGTTGTCTGGGTTATTTTGTTTGATTATAACCATAACGACACAAATTACATTCCTAATCTTGAAAAAATATTCGAATCTGCAGACGTGAATAGATTAACATTAGAAATTAAAGGAAAAAAAAGAATCTGAATATTACATGGTATGGGACTTGTTTTATAAATGGCTGGAAAATAAAATTGATTAAAAGGGATTAGACATAATTATAAAGCAATAAGAGAAAGTAGTGTAATAGACATATACATATGGGAATGTGATTATTATATGATTATACTGTTAAGAAGAATATTATTAGTAATTGTTAAGCACATGAAATATGTACCTAATCGGCCCACGATTGAAATGGAATGGATTTATTGTATGTTAAAAATAAGAAAAAATAATCTGAAAAAAACAACAATTACATTCCTAAACTTTACCGCTTTTTTCCAGCCATCGATAAAATAAATTCCACGTTTGATAATAGTCTGTATCTGTTTAAGTAAGTAAGTCTGTCCATTTCTGCCCAGTCCAATATCTTCTTAATTATCTCATCATCTAGCGGTATTTCTACATTTTTCCAACGCTGAGCAAATACAATCCTTTTTAATTCATGCAATATTAAATATACGCTTTGTTTATCATTTTTTTTCCTGATATTATACCAAAAAGTTCAGGTTTAAGATCTACATGTTTTCCTAACAGCTTTTCTAACCACGTCTGTGTTTTTGCCCAAAATCTTTTTGTGATCCATGCACTATTGATCTCTCGTTGTCTTTCTTCTCATTGTGTTTATCCAGGCCAGCCTTGTGACTTTTGCGACTACCGGTGAGAAGACCGTGACAGCTGTCCTTGCCTGCAAGGGCGAAGGGGTAAATATACATCCCTGCATGAAGTGGGTGGGTGTCGTGGCCTGCCAGCGGAGCTGGTTGCAGATTCGGACAGTGAGGAGGTTTGGGGGAGGAACATGGGCCAGTCCTGGAATCTGAGGAAAGCTCTGACGAGGGCTCTGCGTCGGAGGCAGAGATGGGGCCAGGGCCATCCGACATTTATTAGCTGCCTACAGAGTCGGAGATAAGTGGGGAAGAGGAACAGCTGGAGCCTGTTCCCGATGTGCGCATGTGCAGAGCTGCCAGGAGAAGGGAATAGCTAAGGAACAAGGGTCAACTCGGGAGTAAGGGCACAGGTGGACGGTGAATGGCCCCTCCCATTGGAAATAAAGAGGAGCGAAAGGGGAGGGGTGTTTGCAGGAGACAATTCGTTCATTTAATTAGGGGGAAGATTTGTTCATGACAGACAAACGGTTGTCCAGTCTCTTCTTACAAGAGATTTTAAGAGGCTGCTTGAAACGGCGGGTGCCTGTTTGAACCCCAAGTGTGTTGTTCAATCTTTCGCTTCTTCCCTGGTGGGTAACTTCCATCCTTGTGAGAAACGGAAGGCCGTTTCGCTCTGTTCATTCTCTCCCTCCAAGGAAGGCCCTTTTTGCCCCGCCCAGGCCTACACCATCAACTTGTACCTGGCTGAAACCGGGCAGAGGCTTCTGGACACTCTCATCACCTTCACTCTGGAGAAGAGTAGCATCAGGCCTGAGCAGGTAACGGTGCTTCCGATAAGCGGGCCGTGTTCCCAGCCTGCAGCCATCGCTCGGCGAGAGTATTATTTCTCTGGGATCTGAAAGCCCACGCTGCATTTTTTTTAAAAACCAACCACCCCTCGCCAAAGATTGTGCTTTGGGAACGCTCTTTAGAACAGCAAATAGATCTAAAACCAGAATTATTCTTATTAGGGTATATTACCGGGGAAATGCAATAAAAGAACCACCTATTTAATGTTACGTATAATAACAGCAGCTAGAATCACACATGCACAAAATTGGAAAAACAAGAGCACACCTACAGATGAAAAGGTAATTTAAAAAAACCCACTAGAATGTGCTGAATTGGACAGGCTAATGATGGAACTTAAAGATAAAGAGAAAACAATACTACTTAGCATTGTACAAATGGTTAAATTACAGGTGTAGAGATTAGTAACTTAGTAACGAAAGAAGATTAATAAAATAGAAATAAATACAGGCATATAGATATATGTAACAATATATACTGTAAACAATATCACTATTGGGCTGTACACAAATATAGATTAAAAGTAATAAACGTAATTAGAGTGTTATGGTACAACTATGAAAACAATAGTTATAACTGTGACGTACAATACTGTGCATTTAAAAGAAACTACGCTGTATGACTATGAGAATAATGGTTCTAACCAGGATGTATAAATACGATGTATATATAAAAAGGACTTGATCTAGCCAGTACACTGCCATTGCAAAACTGGAAATGTGATGTATAATAAAGGAAAATGTACAATACGAATATTTTTTTTTTAAAAAAGAGAGAGAGAGAGAGAGGGAAAATGCCCTTTTTCTATCGCTCATCCATTTCTTCCCTTTGTCGCAGCTCTTCATTCAGGTCTTTTTAAAGAAGGATGATTCCGTTGGGTACCGTGCCTTGGTGCAAACGGAGGATCACCTCCTCCTGTTCCTGCAACAGCCAGGTACCCCTTTGAGTGGTGCTGCACCCTTCATGGTACCCTCTGCTTGGGGCCAGACCTGGGCCAGAGCTTCGTAGCTGTTGTGGCCCAGCGGCCAACAGAGCTGGCAGCAGACTCGGACAGGGAGGAGGTTGGGGAGGTACCTGGGCCAGTCCTGGAGTCTGGGGAAGGCTCTGCGTCGGAGACAGAGATGGGGCCAGGGCCGTCCGACAGTTATCAGCTGCCTTCGGAGTTGAAGATCAGTGGGGAAGAAGAACAGCCGGAGCCTGTTCCAATGTGCGCATGTGCAGAGCTGCCAGGAGAAGGGAACAGCTAAGGAACAAGGGTCGACTCGGGAGTAAGGGCACAGGTGGACAGTGAATGGCCCCTCCCATAGGGAATAAAGAGGAGCCAAAGGGGAGGGGTGTGTTTGCAGGAGACAATTAGTTCATTTAATTAGGGTGAAGATTTGTTCGTGACTCCTTGCCAAGTGTTTTCTGCTACAGCTTTGCGCTTGGAAGCTATCGGCCTGGCAACTCTCCAAGCCTGATAAGATCTGTGATTGTAAATCACTCTTCAAAGACTTGTTTGCCGGGACTTTGCTGGATGTGAACGATAGGAATTTACATTAGCCTAAATAAAAGGGGTTTTGTCAGGACGAGGAGATTTCGCGATTTTTGGGACGCCCAGGCAGCCCTTCTTCCTCCTCGCTTGCTCTGCCCTCTGGGAGATTCCACCCATGGCTAGAAAGGAAAGAACTTTTTTTTTTTCCCCTTTTCGTTTTTGCTCACTTAATCTCACTCTTGGCAGGAAAAATTTGGTGGACCCGGGAAGAGTCTCTGGCTGAGGTGGTTAGTCTGGAGATGGTTGACCTGCCCTTGACGGGGGCCCAGGCAGAACTGGAGGGCGAATTTGGGAAGAAGGCTGGTAAGGAGCGATGGGGGGAGGAAGAGGAGGGGAGAGAATGATTTTGGCCGAGATGGCCGACCCTTGCAAAGTGAGCCTAGCGTCCATCGCTTGGTGCAGCGTTCTCCTGAAGAAGCTCGAAAGGAGATTTGGGCTGCTATGTTCAGAGTTTTTGTTCGTGTGTTTGCTTGCTTGTTTCCCACTCCTCCAAAGACTAAATGCTGAATTGTTTCCTGGTTTGTGTTTCCTTTTTGCTGCCTGGAAATCAGCCATTCAAGGTAACCCGGAATGTCCCGTCTCCTGTTTTGCTTGAGTGTGTCACGTGTGCCACGAGAGAGGGGGGTGCCCTGGGGCCATTTCTGATTTTGGAGCCATGTCCCATGTGGTGGGCAGTGCACAGAAGCTGGGAAATAAAAACCTTCCAGCTCAGCTGTGGAAAGGTTATTTTTTTTTCTTTCTTTCTTTCTTTCTTTCTTTCTTTCTTTCTTTCTTTCTTTCTTTCTTTCTTTCTTTCTTTCTTTCTTTCTTTTTCTTTCTCTCTCTCTCTCTCCTTTCTTTTCTGCCTCCTCCTCTTTCTCCTCCTCCTTCTTCATTGTCTCCCTCTCCTTATTCCTCCCTTCTTTCTTTCTCTTCCTCCTCCTTATTCCTCCTCCTCTTCTTCCTCCTTCTTCATTGTCTCCCTCTCCTCTTCTTTCTTTTCCTCCTCCTCTCCTCCTTCTCCTCCTCCTCTTCTTATTCGTCCTCCTCTTCTTCCTGTTCTTCCTCCCCTCCTCCTCCATTGTCTCCCTCTCCTCATTCCTCCCTTCTTTCTTTCTCCTCTTCTTCTTCCTCCTCTTCCTCTCCTCCTCCATTGTCTCCCTCTCCTCTTCCTCCCTTCTTTCTTTCTCCTCCTCCACTTCTTCCTCCTCCTCCTCCATTGTCTCCCTCTCCTTCCTCCTTTCCTTCTCCTCCTTCTCTTCCTCCCCTCCTCCTCCATTGTCTCCCTCTCCTCTTCCTCCCTTCTTTCTTTCTCCTCCTCTTCTTCTTCTCTTCTTCCTCCTCCTCCTCCATTGTCTCCCTCTCCTCTTCCTTCTTTCTTTCTCCTCCTCTTCTTCCTCCTCCTCCTCCATTGTCTCCCTCTCCTCTTCCTCCCTTCTTTTCTTCTCCTTCTCCTCTTCCTCCCCTCCTCCTCC